TTCATGACTGCATCCTCCCCTCCACACGGTTCTTAAGATCTTCCGGAGATGCTGTTCTCTCACTCCCGCCCCCGTCTCAGGTACGGCTGGTGGGGACGAGAGAAAGGGCATTCTCCGTGGTGGCCCCTCATCTCTGGAACTCCCTCTCCAGGGAGATTAGGCTAGCACCCTCCCTATCCACATTACATAAGGAACTAAAGATGTGGATGTTTCGTTGTGCATTCGATTGATGACTCCTGTGACAGATGATCTGAATCATGACCTGAAACCAAATTCCTATATTTCATTACTACATTTTTAAGTTAAGTTGAACTGATCCTGTTTAATTGCTCTATTTCTATGCTAGTATTCCTTTGCCACTATACGTTTCTGTCCACCTTATTGATCACCCTATCCTTTAACTAGTTTTGCATATTGGCCCCCTCCCTCCCCTCCAAAAATGAGTCTGTTGTTGCTTTTGATGCTTGTTTATTTTTGTTTATGCTGTTTTTAATGCTATTTTAATATGTTACTGTTCTGTTTTTTAATTGTATGTTGCCTTGGGTTTGGCCCCATGTAAGCTGCCCCAAGTCACTTCGGGGAGATGGAGCCGGGGTAGAAAAATAAAGTTCTTCTTCTTCTCTGTAGATTTTGTAACCACAGATTCAAATCTAAGTTCCACTGTATTAGAATTTTTCCTGAGAGAGTTCTGCTAGATCAAAGCAAAATTCTTTCTACTTCAATATTCTCTTTCTACCTTTTCCTACCTATCACTAATCAGATGCCTCTCAGGCCCGATCTTCACTGCCATATAATCCAGTTCAAAGAAGATAATCTATTTTTTATATGGTAGTGTAGATCAGGTCTCAAAGGCAGATAAGAAGTATAGGATACTGACTATGATCCCCAGTATTTACTAAATGAAATCGTTTGCCTTAATTTGTCTATAGCACCAAGGCTCCCAAAGTGATATGTAACAAGTTTTTGAACATCCATCCATCCATCCATCCATCCATCCATC